TCTTCTGTCTATGTAATATAATATGTAGTGTTCCTGTAAATATTATATGTGTAATATTCTGTTACATGAATTAAATAAATTATTATATTATAAAATACTAAAAACTAAGAGAAAATTATACTTAAATTGTTTTTATGGTTTAAAAGTTGGTATCTATTCTTTTCCGAACATATCACAGTTTGTGACATTGTGGGAATCCCCTATTTTTGACTTTGGCCCGTGCGTCAAGGTCAAATCAATCATGATATTATTTTGTTCCGCCCTGTTTATCATTGCGGCCCTTCCTCAAATTTGACTCTAACTACCTTCAATTATGAATAACCCTATGAGCTTATCCAACTAAACAGTTGAATTGGCGGCGAAACAATCGACGATCGCGCAATAGTCCTGAGATAGTTTAGTCAAAGGTGTGCGCCCGCTCTTAATAGGTTTCACTTTTATACTCACCGGTATATAATCAGGCAGGTTATCAGGCACGTTGAGGTTTGCGAGCTCTGCTTTAAGCCGTTTGCGATGGTTGGGTTTCTTTATGCCGACAGCTGTTAGATCCTCGGGCGTCATCCGCGTCACCGTCGGCAAGTCGTAGCCAGCCTCTATGAACAGCCGCGCGTACTCCTCCATCTGGATGTCAGCTAGCCACGCGTGGATTATATCCGCGTCCTGAGAAAGACATTTATTTATTTACTAGATGTTGCTCGCGTCTTCGTTCGCGTGAAATTAAAAATAATTTTTGAAATATCAGCAATTAACTATAATTGTGGTTAGTAGATCTTACTAATATTATAAATGCAAAAGTTTAGATGGATAGATGTTTGATAGAATTTGTAGCCTAAACTGCTGAACGGATCTTGATAAAATTCGGCATAGATGTAGAGGATAGTCTGGATGAACACATAGGCTATTATATTTGGTTTGTTTTCTTCACGCGGACGGAGTTGCGGACGAAAACTATTCAGGAAATAAAGCCGTTACTTATCTACCTATGCATTAAGAATGCGGTCCACAAATTAAGTAAAAGCAGTATAGTATTCCTCTGTTCTTGAAGTTATGTTAGTGATGATTCCATTGTTTTTCACTACAACTGGTAGATGTGACTGGCATTTGTCATAAGTCATCAGGAAATAGATAAATCTTTAAATAATGAGTATTTAAATAAACTTACCGGTAGTCCCTGTGATATCATGGCACGCACTCTATCTGTGTCCCCGCAGTGGCAGGCTGCGTGATGGTGATGCGGCGGCAGGCGGCCTGACGCACGCCCGCTGTCCAACGATGCGGACGAGTGTCGTGACCCGGACCCAGCTGACCCTGACGAGGACCCGGGACTGTCGCGACCAGGGCTCTGTGAAGTGACAAGGGTAGAGCATAAACTTACTAAAGAAAGAAATGTTGCGTGATATTTACACATGACGCCAGTTTTCAGACAAATAGAAGAAAAAAGAATGGGATCTGAGATTTCGCATCTAACACTTCTCTCCTGGATTTCACCTTCTCATTTTACCTTGATTTCGATGACACGCTTCCTCAGTATAATACCCTGGATTGGGAATGGTACCTTTAGCATTTTTGTCACATACCTGTGTCATGTCAATCCCCTGGTCGTCACTTAGTGCTAGCTGATGGTGGTAGTAGACGGCGGCCTTGTGTGTAAGCGGTTGGGGCGGGAAAGTGAACGTGCCCCCGCCAGCCGGCGACTTTCCCAGGCTGCCACTCGCGCCTGACATACCGGACACACCCGACACCGTGCTGCCGTAGTCTGAGTGGTCATCTGAAAGCATTTACATCAGATATATCATAAAAATAATAAAATATTGGAGAAATTAAAGTGCTACTTAATGGCATCTAACACCAAGATTGCTTGATTAAATAGACTAACGGTTAAGTTAGTCTACTCACGTAAAAATCACTGCTTAAATCTAACCAAACCAAATCATATGACAACACAAAGATAGAAGACGGAAGAATAAGGATTCGCGTTTTGTTCACTTTGGTCTTTCAATTTAAGTTGGGATGGAACTGGTTTGTCTGTTCTTTTCTAATCTTTGTAATAATTTGTTATACTCCTACCTCTCGTATGAGACGGCGTGTCCGGCGGCTGGGGGTAGGGCTGATCCTCGCAGGAAGCGTAGCCTTGCGAGCCAAAGCTGGAGCCCGAGTGGCGGTGGTGCGGCGTGGCGAAGGCGTCGCCGGGCACCGCGGGCGGCGGCACGCGCTTCGCCGTCGCCGCCTTGCCGCCCGCGCCCGCGCCCCCGCCCCGCGACATTCCCCCCACTGGAACATAACACACAACATGTTTCACTGATACCATAGATAGACATTTTATTAATGATGAGGTTCAAAGTTCATCTTCGCGTCAATGGAATTCAGACTGTAAGCAGTTGCGCAGGTGCAAATCCACTCTCTAGTCTATGTCTAGTTAATGGTACTGTATTTTATTAATAGGAGGTGACAACGAGCAAAACGCACATCAGCTGAATAGTCTTCTCTATTCCTTTACGTCTCTTCTCTTCCATATTAATAAAAGGAATTGCTAACTTTTATAATTTCATTTGAACGTAGTGTGATTTTTAGATTTTTGTATCTAAATGTAACTTAAAAGTTTATACGGTCTACCGTCAACAATGACGAGGTGTTAAAAATTATCACGGAGTAATAATAAACGTAGTAGGCATCCGTGTAACTTCGCTCAAGGTCGATACGTGCGAAAATTTACACAGCGATAGAAAAAAGTTAATTGGATCCGTGTTTCATTCTGGGACGTGTTTTACGACTTTTGTCATACACAAGCATTATTACTATTTAATATTGATGTTGAAATTGTCCGGTTTTTAGTATATTATTTAATTATATTATTAGTAATGAAGACAGAGTTTAAGATGCTTTCACCACTAGGGCTCTACCAGTTGCTTCTAGTTCCAATAGCGGTCACGTGCTCGTGCGTCTAGTATCGCGAAGTTAATCGTTTAGAGGAAAAGACCTTTAAGGACAATCCCAAGAGATTTTTTCTGAAATGTACCTTCGAAGATCAAAGATTAAAGATCCGACATTGTTATATTAACAGAAGTATTCTAGACAAATATCGACAACACATAATCTCGTAATGCGTTGTTTAATCTGTTAAAACAGTAATAGAGAATGGCTTCTAACATTGTTATCTACGCATTGCAGAGACGTCAACCGCATTAGCGAAATGAATCCCCCTTACGTTTAACTGATATAGAGGGGGATAGTAATAACATAAAAACACCATCAATCATGATCGGTTGAGATCGGATCTAATCCCCGCAACTAATTATACCGCATCGATTAGCTTAATAGCGGTGATTTTTGGCGATTTTTCTCTAGTAACTAAAAATATAGTACTGTCTTTGCCTTTAACCGTTGATGCACATTTTAAAAAGTAAATTTATTATCTAGAAAACGACGCTTAGCTTAGCTACTTTTGTAACAGGCAACCGATTTTAAATAAGACTTTCTTTTAAATCGTGAGAAATCAATACTACATTTTTATTTAAAGAATACTATAATATGATCGAGTTTGTAGTTACTTTAAGGTTAGAAATGTATTTAGCACCGTTTATGTTAACACAACGTAAAAAAGGGCGCGAATATTTTTTCATAATGAAGCAAATGTCGTCACCTACTTTCTTTATCGCCAGTCCTTAAAGAGATTCATTACCTGAGCGGATGACTTGGCTAAAGCACCTCATTTGATGGATGCCTGCCGTCGGGGTTCGACGTACGCTTTACGACGGTAAAAGGGCAATAAACGTGCTATTTCACGGAGGTTATGTTCCAAATAATGTCGATCATTTGACCTTATAAGCTTGTTACGTGTACTCTTTTTATAACCAACGATTTAATAAAAGAATCAGTTACATATTTTTCACTATCGTTGCAATGTTTCATTTAGTTTTAAATAAGTAGTCACACTAAGTTACCACACGTTATATGAGCCATAAACAATTACTACCAAAATATGTTAGAAATGATTTATTTCGCTTAGTGAAAGTATAACATAGTGGCAATCAAAATGATTGATTGGTTCAATTACACGACAGATATGCATGTAGAGATTTGCGTGACGCGTTAGACAACTCTTTAGAGAGCGAGGGAGGCGGTGTTGTGAGCGAAAACGAATGCTCGATCACGCATGCTCTGACAACTGACGTTTAGGGTTGCCAGGGGAAGAATAAAAAATAAGTTTTGTCTATACTTTTATTATCTATAGCTATAAAATACTCATAGAATAATGACGTAACAGAGCAGACACGGATTTCAAAAAGTCAAAATGGCACGGCAAGGTTAGAATTTTTTTTGCTTTTCCTATATTCTTACGTCGCATGCTTCTAAGTTTCTTTTATTATTAAGACCACTTATCGTAATTTTATAACATATCTATTATTCAATAATGATGACAAAAAATTCATTGATTTCCTTTTATATTGCTATGGATTCTAATTAATTTGTGCCCCCATACATCTTTCCTTATTACGCGAGTGGTCGTTGAGTAGGATCCCTCATCAATATTCATTACACTGATTCATAATGAAAACATATAATAAATAGGATGTTAGTTTGTATTTATGACATTCTTTTACGATATTATGTTATTACCCATAGATACATTATAATGGATTTTTTTCTTTGACTTGGATTTTTGAGGTTAAATCGATTACTTTAATTAGAAAATCACATCAGTTCAGATATGGGTAGAAAGTAAAATCTTTTCATCGTCTTGTAAGTTATAAAACAATTAGTTTATCTGTTAAGTAGTTATAAAAAATAAAAGAAAGTACTTAACTCGTATTAAATTAAAAGAAGAAAACGTCGTCGGTTTTAATGTCAAATAAATTTACGAGCACTTCCATTACAGAGAAATGTCGCTATCACACGAAGGAAGAATGGTGAAAATAGACAGTGCAGTACGACAGCAAATGTGCTTACAAACAATAGCAGAGCACTGTCATCTGTTCTACCCTCGTGTGAAACACATTGGACTAATTGACCGGCAGGACAATGCCGCTGATAAAGATAAAGTTACTTTTGACTTTCACTTTATTAACCAACGCGCTTTATAGTTCCGCATAGCAACAAGTAGCAACCACAAAGCTGCCAGTATCTATACTAAAATTATAAAGAGGAAAGATTTGTATTTTTGTATTTATTGGAATAACTCAAAAACTACTAGGCTGAATTTAAAAGTTCTTTCACCGTTGGAAAGGTAATTTATCTGTTAGTAACATAGGCTATATTTTTCATACGCGGGCGAAGTCGCGAGCAACAGCTAATCATTTAAATTCTTACTATAAGTCCAAATAAAAAAAAAGATAAGTAATCTGTGATACAAGATAATTGCTGTAATAGATACCATGTTACGTCAATTCTTGTATCGAGCGTGAATGGTAATAAAAAATAAAAAAGCGGCCACAGTCTATTTACTGTAACTCAATAAAGTGGCGGTCAATTAGCAACAAAGCAAAATAAACAGCTATCGATTACGGCGCTAACGTTCCGATCGTGTTGTTATAGTCTGTGCAACCGCCATATTGTGCTGTCAGATTTTTTATTACGTAAGCGAGATTGTCTATGGAATTTCTTTAGGGTTGCAACTTTTGCAGCAAAAACTATTAATTTCGTTTGAGGAAAAGAAACAAACATTGACAACATTAACAAAATGATTAACTAAGGCAGGATTTTTCTTTATTTACACTAAGTGACAAATTAACAATTCTGGGTATGAAAGTAACACAATTTTTTTACTATACATAAGGCATAGACCTAATTGGAAAGATTAAAGTGCTTACAGTAAACTATAAGTAGAATTTCTACAAAGAAATCTGCTCCTAATCTTATTAGAGCATAGAATAATTAAAAGGTAACTTTAGACAAAGCGACAATTGTGTTAACAGCTATCACGATTGATTAACCCGAGGTTGCTAAATAAATCATGCGGGCTCCATTGAGACGGTCTACAGTCCGCACTTACACTCATTTTGAACGGATGCTTTCACTTTTAACTTCTGTAGGGTTGCCAATTAAAATGGAATTATTAAGAATTTATATTGGTCAGTAACTGTCGACCGGTATCTTTGGTATAAAGCCATGACGGTAAACTGCTAAAGTTAAAGGTTAACAGTGCTGCCAACCTTTAATAAGAAGGGACGAACAGAAAGAGAATTTCTTCGTCTTAGACGATCTATTTCCTGTCAAATCCATTGCCTTTTCAATCGTTGCTTAAAAAATGATGAGTAAAGTGAAACAATAATTTATACAATGTTTTTAAATGGTTACTGAATAACTACATACTACTGAATAACGAAAATATCGTATCAGTTATGATACTCGTAGTTAAAAAACAGCATAGTGTATACGAAATTGTAACTTAAACTAATTGAGTTACGATATATTTGAGATTGAACATTAACAATATCAAAGATCGCATGATGTTATCTTGATACAAAGGTTTATGAAAGCGTATTTAAGGGACGCGATCAATAAGTATTATATCTTGTAATATATTAAGTTACTTTCATACAAAACTAGTTAATTCAGATAAGAAGTTTCATAATTATATCAAAAACATAAAAGGAATTAAAATTAAAATATCAATTATTTTGTTGCGCAAGACAAATATTGCCTTAAATTGATGAATATGACAATTATGGTCAACAGGACGGCATTTTTTACAATTGCATGCGAAGTAAATAATCTGGTAAATATTTGTTGGTAAAATCAGGTCGAATGCAATTATTGAGTAAGATGTTAACTGCATTTTTCCTTTTGTATAAATGTTGACAATTATTAACACTTCCAATGCCATTCTTGGACTACAAGTTTAGAATGGTTTTAGAATATAACGTTTTAAATTGGGATACAATTGGTAACACTACAAACGATTAAAAAAAAATGGAGCGAATGATCATAAAATTTTATGAATGCCGAGCCGAAATTAATTCATCAGGATGTATTGGACACGGATGAATTAATGAAAACAAAGGCGTCATAGCCGTATGGCGTAACAATTACACGCGGGACATATTGCGCCGGCTAATGGGTCAACCTAATGGTTTAACCGGTGGCAATTACTCCTCTTGCGTAAAAGGATGGGAACAAGAGGTATTATAGTAAACGATGAATTTTGTCGCTCACGGATTTAAAAACATATGCAGAAGTTAACCTCAGTTTTGCGTAGGCAGTCTAAATACACAAAACGCACGTATGTGTTGTTGTGGCAACAGTCAACTTATTTGCTATCTGATCAGCATTTT